CTCTCGTCCTTTTTCTTGCTTATTTTTTGGTTTTTATTTTTTAGACTTTAGTTCATTGATTTATCATTTATGAGTTATTATTTATGTTTTATGAGTTTATGATTGTGATTGTTGAGGTTTATGATTTATGCAAATTGGGAATTTTGTGAATTTGAGAATATGTGATAATACGTGGTTGTGGATTGTGATTTATTTGTGAGAGATGAAAAGGATATATATTGAAAAAATTTTGATTTGTGATAAATATTAAGAAATTGTCGAACCCTTTCATAAACTAATTTTGACAAAAAAAAAATTACTGTAGCTATGCCTGCGCTGAACAAAATCTCTGGCTCCGCCCCTGCGCATCAATAGTGAATCATTATAAATTGCATATTTTTTTATTTTTTATTTAACTTGTTTCTATTTTACTTCGCTTATCAAATTAACAAACTTAGTAGTAAAATTTTCTTTAAATTATTGGGACCATTTTACAAACAAAGAATTAATATTTCATAATTTAATCTCGAATTAGTAATTGAATTTTTCAGATTCAAGATCAATTTGTTCATACTTAATGGAATGCAATTAGATCAAGTGACAGAAAATAATTAAAAAAAAATGTTCAATTGTCTGAAGCTAATCAGATAGTAATAAAAATTACAATCTTGCTAGTGGTACGTAAGAGTGTACCCAATGGACACTCGGCGCCTCGGCATTGGTCGAGGCGCCTGCCATGTCGGGGCCCACAGGCGCCTCGGCCAATACCAAGGTGCCGGGTGTACATTAGGTACACCCTTAGGTACACGGTTGTGTACCTTTAGCATAATTCTAAAAATTATTAGTTGACTTATTTGTTAATAGATATTCTTAGAAAATCGTGAATTTATCTCTCCCGTAAGTGGAAAATCAAATAAAAGATATCAAAGTTAAAATTTGAGTCTTTTTCTTTCTTTTAATCTTCCTTTCTTAAGTAAGTTTAAGTTAAGCAACAAGAAAAACTCTGAAATTCTTAACACTTTAGAACCTACAAGGATTAATGTAACACGCTCCACGATTTACTTTTTTCTGAATACTAGCTTAAACATCCATACATTCGAATTAACATCAACACGAATTTTGCTTGTCTTGCCGCTAAAAAATCTACACACCATACCAACTAACCTAGTCCATGGTTGGTCGAGCTCGATGACCTTTTCCCTCTCTCCGGTTACCCCCCTCCTAACTTCTCTTTTTGCCAGCAGACAGCCCACCCGGTTGCTTGTCGACCATAATTATCAAGTTGTTTGCATTTGCAAGATCATTAGATTAATTAATCCATCGTTTATTTGTAAGAAAACCCAAACTCTCCCATCGGGCCACCAACCGAACCGGAATCGTTTAGAACCGGTCGGTTCTTCTAAAAAATAATTTGATTTTAAGACAAATTTTTAAGAACCGATCGGAACCGGTCCAGTTCTCGGTTCTAGTATGGAAACCGTGGGAATCAGACGGTTCTCATTGGATTTTTTTTTTGGGTAAAATATATGACTCAATCTCCAACACTTTTTTCAAAAATAATCGAGTTCCTTCTTAATTGTAGACTCTAGTACTTTCCTTCTTCTCTTTGATTCTTTCTTTATCTCTTCTTATAATTTTTTGATTAATTGATTTTCAAGCCAAATTAGAATATTGGATAAATCTATACCTAAATACATTTATTTAGAGTATATAATTTAATTTATAAGATGCGAAATTTTTATTTTGTTTTCACTTTGATTACATGATTTTTATTTTGTTTTTACTTTGTAAATCTATACCTAAATAAATTTTTAAATAATATGTTCGGTTCTTTTATATTTTGTTAAAAGTATCACGTTAGTACCATTTTTAAAGTTTTTATTAGTGAAAATTTTACTTTGACATTTTCAATATAAAGAACCGGACCAGACCGAATCAGAACCGATTGGGTCGGTTCCGGTTCAGTTCCACAGTTAACTATGGAACCAACGGTTCTATTTCTAAAATTCTCATTGGTATTCGGTTCGGGAACCGGACCAAACCGGACTGCGCCCACTCCTATCCAAAATGAACCCCACATTACATTTGGCTACTTGTCCCCTAAATGTTCAAGATCCTGCAACACATGTCCCTCTATCTTCTTTATATATTTTGTTACGTATCCTTCATAGATGTCTATGTACTATTGTCATTATAAAGATTAATTTCAATTACACGTTCTTAATTACTTTCATACGTTGTTCGTTATATATAGATGTATATAAATTATTCACATCAGAATTCTAATTCTCACTTCGAAGGCAGAAAGTGAAGTGAGCCTCGCCTTTCTTTGCAGGTAGTATAGCTGTGAACCATTGCCAGGGATGAAATATTGGTGGCCACATGAACAAATCTTGACCTCATTAAAAAGATGTTCAATCATTAGAATAAGTAATTTAACCATACAACATCATTATGGGATGATGTTTCGGAAAAAATGCAGTTGTGGTTTCAAACTTATACAAAAAGTGCAAATAGGTCCAGGGTCTTATTCTTGCCGCTAGCGGTAGACAAAATGATCTGATTAAACCAAAACTAAATCAAATCAAGCGGTTTGGTTTGGTTCTATCAAAGAAATAATGATTTTGGTTATAAGAAATGGACTTATTCTTTAGTGAATCATACCAAAAAATTCAATTTTAAAAATTATAAGGGTGAATGTATGATATGTTTTAAGTACAGATTACTAACTTATGGATATGATGATAGATTTCAATTTGCATTTATCATTTGATAACTTAATCAATGGAACCTAAACCTAATTAAATCAAACCAGAACCGAATGGTTCAACTCCATATCTTAAAAAAATAATTGTTTTCATTATGAAAAAATATCATTGGTTTATGGTTCAATTCCATTCAATTCGATTTAATTCTCTTGGAAACAAAATCAAAATGAACAATGCCCATGCCTACTTGCCACCTTCATCCATGATCGTAGTCTAAAATTTCGTTAGTAACACACATGAAAGGCACTTGTCCAAATTTTAGAAGAGAGGTGTATCCACCCTTTTTCCCACTTAAAAATAGATTAACGAATTGAACTAGATCCATGATTTGATTATTTAGCATAATTATAACTACTTATCAAGTCGACACGATAAAAATAGAACTATTCATTGGTTATAAAAAGAATTTAAGATATTATATACCTTTTTTATTTATAGTTTTTATGAGTATTATAACATAATTATTAAACTTAACAAATTCAAATTATAACAATGCAAGGCTTCTTTAATTTTTTGAGGTATCCAAACTGAGATACCGTCATTTTTAGGCGGTCACTACCGTATGACTGATTTGTTCTGAGATAGAGACGTTGACATAAAATGACACATGGCGATTATCTCAAAAACTCTCGGCTACTAGAAGGTTTACGTGGCACACTAAACACTATCATTATTCGAGAGAGATATCTAAAATAAGCGTCAAAACTATAATGTTTTTTCCGTATACTTTATATATTTTGTAGGTCAACGTGTCGTAAAGCTACACACCTCTTACGTTACAATTCCATTGCCCGATGTCAAGTTATTTATCAGAAATTACTTCATTGCACTAATTTTACTCTTTTGTTCACAGAATCAACCGGTAACGTTTCTGTATTTTAAATTCTTAATCACTTTTTTCAGTCAAACATTTATTATCCACATCGAAAGTCAACAGGACAAAATTGCCTTTTACACTTACAGAAAAATAATTAAACTGTGTGTGAAAGCCTTTCCTCTGGTCCTGTATACTTTCATTATTTACATAATCTGATTTACTTAATAACCGCTAAACCAATTTATAAAAGGGAAATTGAGTGTCTTTTCTATTCGAGTTTTTCTTTGGACAAAGACAATTCTTGTTAAGAAGAAATTAGTCTGAAAGGGTCAGAAAAAGGTCCATTCTTGATAGCTCTGTGTTTTCTTCAGGTACTAAACTCGCCTGCCTTAAATCTTTTTGGCTGTTCATTTGCCAATGATTGAATTTGAACTTGGGTTGTAGTTATTTTTCTTTCTGTCTTCTTGTTTGCTAATTATGTTACGTGAGAAAATTAGATTTTCTGGAGATCATCAATGGTTTTTCCCCCCTCCCAATTTAAGTTCATCCCCTCTTGTTATAGTCATGATTCAGTCTACATGTGTGTGTCTATCTGTCTATATCTCTGTGCGTACATATGGAGTATTGGTTTTCTCAATCTTGATGGGTTTCAGAATTTAATGAACGGTGTTGTTCTTATCTGTTTATCAACTTTAAATGATAATCGTCTACCTTGTTTGGCTCGGCCATGCAAAAAGGTTTTTGATGTGGGTAAATTTTTAAGAATGGGAAATTCTGATTGAGTGACTGATTGCTTTCTGTGGCTCTACAGGTTGATGTGATGATATTTTATTGAATTTAAATACTTAGGTTTTACTTCTTGATGGATTTTGGAAATATTTTTATATCATTAATTGTTTGTAAACAGTTTATGATGTATTCATGGCCATTCACCGCTTTGATGACTGTTTTTCTTCTTGAAATTTTAACTTTTCTGACCGGGAGAGGGAAAGTATGAACAGCGGGGAATTTGTGGGAAAATAATTTGCCTTTGTATTTTTGCTTTGTGTTTGAGTTATCTTTATGTAATCTTGTGAACTTGTGTAGTAAAGATTCGACTCAACGGCTTGCTTGTTGAATCTAAAAGATAGTAACTAGGTGGAAATGGGGGTGGGAGAAAGAGAGAAGATAACCTCTTACGTTTTATCCTTTAGGTTACGCTGATAGCGATAAAGAATCTAATCATTAACGGGTTTGATAGGCGTTGGATGCATTTATTCTATGAGTTTTAATTCCGTATCTGTGAAAATTAATGAGATTAAGGAAACTTCCACCAACACCAAAGTGAACCACATTTATTGTTGGTGATTTTTCTTGCTTATATCATTATGTCGATATTTACTTGAATTTGAAGTGTTATGGTTCTGTTGATTCAGGTTCACAGTTTATGTATTCAAATCTTACTTTCGTATTTGATCTGATTTTTAGTTGATAGCATTTACAGAGGCTGAGAATTCTCATGAGTGGGTTTGATGACTATGTGGCTATCATGGGAGATTGGACTTCCCCAATCACTAGTCCAAAAACTTTTTTCACATCAATGTATAACTTTGACCCTTTGGCAATATCAACTGCTGAGTCTGATAGTCATAATAGAAGTCAGACCCCTTTTACAGGGCCTGAAATGCAGGTGGCTTCAAGAAATATAGATGTAAAGGATAAGACGCTAAATAGTGTTGAGGGTGATGAGACGAGCAAATCAAATGCACCATCTGAGCCAAATATGAGCTCTCAAGGAAGTCTTATGGAGAGGATGATAGCTAGAGCTGGTTTCAATGCCCCAAGGTTGAATATAGAAAACATCAGATCGCCTGATCAGAATCCAGAAGTTCAGTCTCCTTATTTGACAATTCCTCCTGGTCTTAGCCCTGCAGCTCTGCTCGATTCTCCTCTTTTCGTCTCTAATTCACAGGTAAGCATGGAGATTATTAAGTTCTTTTTCACTCTTGATGATTGGTTTGGTAAGGTGGACTTTATTCGGTTAGACCGTGTTAGAGAAGAAAAATAACTAAACATATACCATAAGGGATTTGCCTTTCTATTCCTATGGTTTGGATAAAAAACAATTCTTTAATGAGTTAACGGACGAATCGAAAAAGTAATCTTTATTGGTTCTACCTCTTGTTCTTTATGTAGAGAATGAAATTTTTTCTCGAAGGATCAGAAAAATTGAGTCCGGGTCTCCCATGGAATGATTTGGAAGATCAAAAACCAAAACTTGTAGTATTTGCTAGCAACAACATGGCAGTCAATCAATAAATCTGACTCAAATCTAATATTGTACCGATAGGTTCCAGCCTAATAAATGTATCAACAATTCTGAAATGAAAAGAAAGGAGCGAAAATGTTGAATTGAATTGATTGAAATTCAAGGCAGTGAATATGAGGATAAACAGCCTGTCAAGAGGGCTGTTGCTCTCTACGATTTCTTCCTTTCCACACTCAAAATTAAGCATGATATCACCTTCCAAAATATTTCTATTTATAGACCCCTGTAACAGAATTTTGCTTACTCACCCTACCCAAATAACCGAATTTGTTACTGCCTCCCCCCATCCCCACTCTTGTTTCTTCCAGAATTAGTATCTGATTGGGGGTTTATTAATTACACCCCCCGGAATAAAGCACTTATTCCCATTCCTAAAATTTAAAGTGCTATGTAAAATGTGTATAAGGATAAGTATACATATATATACTTTTAATGATTCATAACCTTGAGATAGAAAGGTATGAGATCACCTATATAAGTGTGAAATGGGGCCGTTTCTACGAGAATTCGAGGCTTAATTCTCTTAGAGCACTTATGAAACCAAGAGTTGTCCAGGGCCAAAATGGACTCAACCATGAGAACCGAATAGGTTAGATGAGTCATGGTGTTGGTACAGTTGTTTGGTTTTACACGAACGGCTGGATGGTTCAAGACATCGCGTTCACCAACTAGCCTAGTAAATCCGATTGTATTCAACTAAAGAAGGTTCAAGGCCACAAGCTACCTATCTTGATGCTACGACTTGTCGTGTGTACTCCGTTTGTTAGAGTCTGCATTTCATTTTCATTGCATTCGCTTTGTGTTGCGCATATCGAGGAATTTCCATTCATGTGGGGGATTGTTGGATATTGGTTAAATAAATTAAGAATTGAAAAATCGATTAAAGTTCGCATCGACTTCGGCCAAATACTCAAAAGCTTGACTCAATCCGTTTAAGCAAAATTGTTTGCCACTTCGCCGCTTCGGGGCGCACAAACGGGGATCGACCTGCCCGGTCAGGTCGCGGGGGTCGAGGGGGCAGCGCCCCTCATGGGGGGTTGGGGCAACGCCCCCGAAAGAGAATTTTGATTTCTTTGCATGTATTGAAGAGTATATTTGGCATTTCGAAAACCAATATCGAATGAATGAGAAATTACGAAAAAGGACGAAAATCAGTTAATAGACACCTTTTCATAAAGGTGCATTGTTTGGAAAGGGTGCATGGTTTAGCCTCAACCATTTCGTCCACACCCTTTCATGGTCTATAAATAGGACCCTTTGGGTGTCCTATTCCACACAATTTGATATGCAAAACATATCTCATCCTCTCTTCTATCCAAAATCAAAATCATCTCGTTTATTTTGATTTTCCTTCATTTCTTCTTGGAGTACATAAGCCTAAATTTGGTTCGTTGTACTTGTGTTTTGAAGTGCTACAAACACAAGTGTAGCCGTTGTATCTTGGGAGTCGATTGCCGAAATCCGTAGGCACCGTTGCGGGGCAAATTCGACTTAAGGACAAAGAGGCCAACTCTTGCCTCGACTTTGTCACCATCATTATACTTATTTCGACGTCACTATTCACAAAATTCATCCAACAAATTTAGCCCAAGGTAGAAATCGGTACCACTCCTTTGGTCGAACTGAAGCAAAACAGCGCAAATAGGTCTCAACTCCTCTATTTATTGCCTCCGTTTGGGGCTGATATGCTGAGCTAAACTTCAATTTGGTTCCTTGCAGGCGGAACAGTTCACACCAAAATTTACTCAAGAACACCTTATCCCTATCCGAGATGATCGAAAGTGGAATCTCAAACAAGGCTATCTTAAAGAAGAAAGAGGTGTGTCGAAGGAACCCAACCAAGCAGATCTCCACGGAGAGAACTGAGATTGCCATGCAACCAAACCATCTCTTTTCCCGAATACAGTTGCTACCGATGGTGCCGTGAAGGGATGCTTAAGACCAATGAAGTGCGCATATTTGCTTAAGCGGTCAACCACCAACAGAATTGAATCGAATCCCTTCGACTTTGGTAATCCTGCTATAAAGTCCATGGATATATCCTCCCACACCTAATTGGGTATAGGAAATGGTTGCAACAACCCGGCCGGTGCTAAAGTGGAATACTTATGTTGTTGACAGATCCCGCAAGCAGCTTCATAGGCCTTTACATCCTTTTTCATCCCAATCCAATGGAAGGTTGCTGCCACTCGCTTGTAAGTTTTAAGGAATCCCCCATGGCCTCCCACTTTATTGTCATGTCCGTCATGTAATGCTAGCAAGGTAAGAGGGGATCCCTTGGGGAGAGTGATTCTGTCTTTATATAGCAAGATCCTTTGAACAAGAGCATAACCTAGACAAGAAGACAGGTCAACTTGTAAGGCACAAATAATGCGGCCCAGATCATGATCTTCCTCCTCCACCTTTCTCACTTCGTCTAGCTGTATGTTGCAAGAAATGCTCGAAGCCATCAAGGTCGTAGCAGTCCCCTTTCTAGATAGATCATCCGCTGCCTTATTCTCCAACCCTAGCTTGTACTCAATTTCCAAGTCAAAATCCAACAATTTCGTAAGCCATTTTTGATAGTCCACATTCACCAAACGTTGTTTGAGAAGGAATTTACGCTCTAATGGTCTGTCCTAACCATAAATCACCTACCCAACAGATAATGTCGTCATTTTTGAAGTGCCAACACAATAGCCATGAGTTTTCTTTCATATACTGATTTGTTCTGGCTTCTCGGTGTAAAGATCTGACTGAAGTAAGCAATGGGCCTCTGATTCTGCATTAAAACAGCCCCCAAGCCTTGTCCCAACACATCTATCTCAATCACAAAGGGTTGCGAAAAATCTGGAAGTGCCAACACTGGTACTGTTGTCATTGCTTGCTTTAATTTTGTGAAAGTCGATTCTGCCTCTTTATTCCATCCAAAGTTGCATTTCTTCAATTGTTGAGTTGATGGCCATGCTATCTTTCCATAGGCTTCCAGAAAATGCCGAAAATACCCTGTCAAGCCAAGGAAACCTCGCAATTCCTTTAGGGACTTTGGCCGAGGCCAATCTTTCATTGCCGCCACTTTAGATGCATTCGCCACTATTCCCTTCTCCGATATCATATGCCCTAAGTATTCTATTTCTGACTGTCCAAATAAGCACTTCTTTTTGTTTGTGTAGAGTTGATTGTCCACCAAAATTTGTAGAACCCTTCGCAAATGGTCTCGGTGCTCCATCTTTGTGCGACTGTAGACTAGGATGTCATCAAAGAATACTAACACATATTTCCTCAGCTGCTCTTTGAAGATGGACTTCATCGGGGACTGAAAAGTGGCCAGTGCATTCGTCAACCCAAAGGGCATGATTAGAAATTCGTAATGTCCTTCATGGGTCCTAAAAGCGGTTTTCGGAACATCTTCTTCTCTTACTCGAATTTGGTGATATCCTGACTTAAGGTCAATTTTTGAGAATATTGAAGCCCCATTCAACTTGTCAAGTAACTTATCAATAACTGGAATGGGAAACTTGTTAGGGACTGTCACCTTGTTTAATTTTTGAGAATATTGAAGCCCCATTCAACTCGTCAAGTAACTCATCAATAACTGGAATGGGAAACTTGTTAGGGACTGTCACCTTGTTTAATGCTTGATAATCCACGCAAAATCTCCAGCTCCCATCCTTCTTTCAAACAAAAAGCACAGGGCTTGAAAAAAGGACTTGTGCTTCGCTGTATAATTCCTGCAGCTATAATTTCTCTTACCAACTGCTCGATTTCAGGAAGTGTGGGTACCTGTAAGGCCTCACACTTACTGGTGCAGTAACCGACTTCAAAATGATCGCGTGATCCTGATTTCGTTTGGGAGGGAGCTGAGTACTGTCTTTGAAGACTGCTTGGAACTCCTCGAGAACTTCTGCAATCATTGTCGGCGGCTGCAGTGGAGAACATTTAGGGCTAATAGTGATGGATTCCAATTCTAATAAGAGCCCCTCCCCTTGTTCTTTAAAGGCCTTCTACATTGTCTTCAACGAAACAGGAGTTTTATTGAGGCTGGGATCTCCTTGCAGCGTCTACCTTCGTTCTTGCCACATCGAACGTCTTTGTTAAAGTGTTCCAATCCACTTGCGTTTTTCCTAACTTTTCTAGCCATTGCATTCCTAGGATGACATCCGAGCTTCCCAACTCCAGAGGTAAGAAGTCCTCTTCCACCAAAAGCCCCGGCAGGTTCAGCGCCTCTCGACGACATACAGTTAAACGATTACCCATTATCACCCCGTAACTGGATGTACTGGACAAGGGTAACCCAAGTTGTTGGACCATCTTCGCCGAAACAAAATTGTGCAATGCACCACTATCCACAAGTACCACTACTTCCTTTTGACCAAGCGTTCCCTTCACCTTCATGGCACCAGGAGAGTTGAGGCCGACTACTAAGTTAATCGAAAGCTCCACAGATTGACCCAGACTCGTATTGCTTTCTCCGGCGTCATGCAGCTCGTTGTCGACCTCAATTCCACTAGCGCCCAGCTCGTCGGGGCGTTCTGCTTCCACCGAAACGTCGTTGTCCTCAACTTCTGTAAACTCTCCCTTTTGGCTTGAATTTTAGAATAGATGACGCGTTTGAAAGTTGAGAAATTTTTGGTGAAGGAATTGGGATGATGAGGAATGAGGCTTACAAGGACCGTAGCACGATTTTGGGTTAAAAGAGTTTTAGGGTGGATTGGGGCTGTCATATGGGATATTTTTGGGTTTAGTTGGGCTTGGGCTTTGTTGGGTAATCAAATTTCGATCCTCAATCATTTGGGTTGTCTCTATAATTTTCTTTAAGCCCATGGGTCTCAGTAATTGGACCTCTGCCTTGATACCTGGCTTAAGTCCATTGAGGAAAGTACACTCCATCACTTCCTCAGAGATCTCTGCCAATGACGAAGCAAGAGTCTCAAACCGACGACGGAATTCCCTTACTGTGGAGTCCTGCCGGAGAGATAGGAACTGGGCACACAATGATCCTTCCTGTGAGGGCCTGAATCGCCTTAGAAGCCGTATCTTCACGTCCTTCCAAGTTTTCATAGGTCTGCGTTTTTCTTCCCAATGGAACCACACTAGTGCCTCACCATCGAAACATACGGCAGCCGCTTCTGCCTTCTCTTCCTTCGACGAACAATTTATGCTAAAGTACCTCTCCACCCTAAATACCCAGCCATCCGGATCGACTCCTTCAAACACGGGCATATCCAGTCGCTGTATGTGGTTTTTCCCTCTCCATTCTCCCACCGTTTCTCCTCCATGGGATTGGCTAGCACTTGGTCGAAGTTGTGATGCAGCACCAATACGAAAATTAATAGAGAAAGAGAAAATCAATAAATCAGAAAAAGAAATCTAGGGAAGGGATGGTAGAAGAAGAAAACAAGGGGAAGGAGAATAAGGGGGAAGAGGGAATTTCACCACAAATCACCAAATATCCTTATTCAATAATTAACTGTTCATTACATGTCGAAAAAGATTTAAATAATAAATAAATAAAAATCTAAAGAGAGAGGGTCAAGCCATAATCCAACTAAAATAAACAAAATAACAGTTCAAATAAAATGAAATAAATAAACTGGATGTTACTAAAATAAATAAACAAAGTGGACGTCCTCATCAAGTTGGGTTAAATCTTGAATCAATAGACTCGGTGATTTCTTCGTGACCACCCCCTTCTCTTGTCTGTATTTTTGCATCAACGTGTCGTTCTTCTCCGATGTCCATGTCTGCATCAATTTGAGAAATTCCAGGCATGTCTGAAATTCATGCAGTCTGACGGGGAGATCACGATGATTGTTATCCACCCTTTGCTCTAATTCTCCAACTCTATCTGTAAGTGTCACGGTTGAGGTTGAGGATGAAGCTCTGATACCAGATTGATAGGTTCCAGCCTAATAAATGTATCGACAATTCTGAAATGAAAAGAAAGAAGGAGCGAAAATGTTGAATTGTATAAATTGAAATTCAAGACACAGTAAATATGAGGATAAACAGCCTGTCGAGAGGGCTGTTGCTCTCTACAATTTCTTCCTTTCCACACTCAAAATTAAGCATGATATCACCTTCCAAAATATTTCTATTTATAGACCCTTGTAATAGAATTTTGCTTACTCGGCCTATCCAACTAACCGCATTTGTTACTGCCTCCCCCCTTCCCCGCTCTTCTTGATTCTTCTAGAATAAGTATATTTGATTGGGAGTTTGTCATGTACCTATGGGGTACATAAGAAATGTATGAGATTTCCCTGTCAAAGCGTGCATCATTTTAGAATATCTAGACACAGTAGTTGTGGTGTGTGAGAAGTTCATATGGGTTGTAAGCTATCAAAAATGTACGTTGAGGAGAATGCAGAGCCTATCTTATATGATATCTTAGAGATTTACATTTCTGATAATTGAACCATGCTTGGTTTTTAACTCCTCTTTTTCCAATATGTACATAAAATGGTGATCCTCCTCAGGGGAAAGAAAATTTTGTGGTGCTTTTGTGCAGATTCTTCCATCTCCTACAACAGGAAAATTTTCTGTCTCCCCAAGTGGAAAAAATCAGAACTGGGCATTGATGACTGATGATCCTGACAAGTCCAAGGAGAATATTTCTGAAGATGCCAATGCCTCATCATTTGCATACCAACCTGTTACAGGGTCTGGTTCAGCTCTTGATTATGGTGCAGCTACCGAAGTAATTATACTCTCTCTCTCTCTCTCTCTCTCTCTCTCTCTCTCTCTCTCTCTCTCTCTGTGTGAAATGTGCCAGGCATGGCATTTATTTATTTGTGATAGATTGAAACTTAATAATTGCATACCAAAGTTGCCTGTAAGTAGAGATGTCAAATGGGCCAAGCGGCTCGTCGGTTCGGCCACTTGGCTCGTTAAAACTTGGCTTGTGAGCGGCTCGGACTCGTCATTTGACGAGCTCGAGCCGAGTAGGGAGCCCAATCCCATGAGCCGAACCTGCGCGGCTCGTCAAGCCCACGAGCGACTGGTGGGCCGTGTGCCCACGAGCCACTTCGTCAAAAAACGTGTAAATTTATGAAAGAAAAGTCAAAAAATCCAAAAAATAAAAAAATCACGAGCTCGTGGGCGTTGCGAACTTGGCTCGGCCCATTGCCATCACTACCTGTAAGTTATTTGAGTTTCTATATACCAGAATCTCTGCAAGTAAATTTCTCTGTTGCTTATTGCTTTCATTTGAACAGGCAAGTCCATGTCAACAGCCATTTCCTAGTAATGAAGTTTCTGCTCATTCCATAAACTGGCTTCAGCCTGAAAGTATGGAACCTCAGAATGTCCACTCTGGAAGCAACAGTACATTTTCTCCGCAGATAAATTTCTCTAAATTATCTGCTGAGAACATAGACAGCAGTCTCTCTTCAGATCCAAGGACTCGCAATCCTGTTGGCTTTGCAGAGCATTCTTCGCCTCTCTATGTACCACAGAAGGCAAATGCAGATCAAAGAAGCAGTGACCCTGCTGAAGATGGTTATAATTGGAGGAAATATGGGCAGAAACAAGTAAAAAGTGGCGAGTATCCTCGAAGTTATTTTAAGTGCACTCATTTGAATTGTTCTGTCAAGAAGAAAGTGGAGCGGTCTCACGAGGGTAATGTTATAGGGATAATATACAAGGGAGCTCACAACCACCCAAAACCTCCATCCAATATCAAATCAACACTTGGGTCCTCAAGTGCAATTGGCGACGCAACTGAGTCCCCCATGACTGTTGCTGAAGGTGATCAAATTTTGTCGACCGTGCTAAAATCAGGAGCCTCTGATTGGAGCCAGGACAATCTTGAGCCAAAATCATCAGCATCAGTGAGCAACGAATGCAGCAATGGAGATCTCTCTTTGCAGGCTCACAGTGGGACCCAGATTGAATCGGGTGAGGGTGTGGATGGGTCTTCTACTTTCTCAAATAATGAAAATGAGGTTGGAACTCATGACAGTGTGTCATTAGGCAATGATGTTGATGGAGATGAATTAGAATCAAAGAGAAGGTATTTTCTTGTTGAAACGATACATTGGGAATTGATGCAAAGATGGTTCCATAAATTTTTTGACATTTTTTGATATTCTAGGAGAATTAAGACTTCGGATATGAGCAGGGCAACCATTGGTATCAGGGAGCCTAAAGTTGTGGTGCAAACAATCAGCGAGGTGGACATCCTTGACGATGGGTATCGTTGGCGCAAATATGGACAGAAAGTTGTGAAAGGAAATCCAAATCCAAGGTTAGTCACTTTATTACTAATTTTAAAAAATGATTCTGACAGGAATTGACAATATATTGATGTCATCAAGTTGTTTCGGATTTCTGATGCAGAAGTTACTACAAATGCACAAGTCCAGGCTGCAACGTAAGGAAGCACGTCGAGAGGGCTTCACATGACCTGATGTCCGTGATAACCACGTATGAGGGAAAGCACAACCATGTTGTTCCTGAAGCTCGCAACAGCAGTCATTTTAATTATGGGACCCTAACTCCTGCTGCTGCTTCAAGTCTTTTTCAGAGGGCCGAGGCTTCTCAACTTCACAACAGCATGGCACGCTTCAAAAGGCCTTCTTCACTTGGCTTATTTGGTCTTCCAGGGAAATCAGAACTAAGGACAACTCCTGGTTTTGGTTTTGGAATGAATCAGCCAAACCTAGTCAATCTGCCAATGGCTGAACTGGTACCTAGCCAGGGCCAGTTACCTGTATTGCAGGTTCGTCCATATTTTGGAAAGTTGCACCCAACGAAAGACGCTGGTTTCGTGCTGCCAAAAGGAGAACCAAAACCAGGGAATGTGCCTGATTCTAAATCAGACGCCTCTAATAGCTCATCGGTTTACCGTCAGATTATGAGTCGATGGTCGTGTGGACCACCAAATATGTAACTTTTTAAAGTATTTGTCTAAACAGGTAGAGTAGAGTAGTGATACTGATTTATGTCTAAACAGGTATTTTAGTGGGACGTCTTATTGTTCACTCATAATTATAATTTCTATAAAGAACAACAGAATTTTAGTTTTATTGGATTTCGTTTGACTTCCCTTCCTCCAGGACTAAGTAGAATAATTTACCCTGGAGCAGAATTTCATTTTCTGTTCCTTTTCTCTTTGTACATTGCCAAAAAAAAAAAAGGGACATTGGTGGCTTTCTGGGATGTCTTCGCAGAGGAAATTTTTTGCTGATATCATTATGGAGATTCTTGTTCAGTAATCGTCACTCAACTCCATTCCTCAAGAATACAGAAGCTAGCACACCAAAATTTGAATAGTTTATTCTCAGATAAATTGATAACCTCATATATATATATATATATATATATTTTTTTTTT